GTTAAAATAAACCTTCGGGTTAGGTTGTCGCAATCAGGTGTGAATTTGGTCTTAAATTTTTATTTCAAGTGGCATTAAAAGTCTTAAAAAGTCTTGAATTTAACTTGCCTTATGCTGTAGGAACCCTGTATTTTGTCTTCTAAATGTCATTTTTCAATTAATTTTTTTTACAGAATTTAAATTTTTTTAATTTCTATTTTTCAGATTTAGTTGAAAGAGTTGCATTTTTCTCAAATTATGTATTACAATCACATTCTCAACAAATGCTGTTGTTTATGGAAGAAAAACATTGTCATTGGAATCTGACATAGCTATGCCCAACTGTTGTGTCACATGACCAAATTAGCTAATTGCATTGGCTAGAAGCTGCTTGACTGCGTCGAGTGTAGATTGCTTTGGCTTGAGTTCACCAAAAGGTCAACACATTTTGCAGGGGAATTTTATGCAGGCTAAATTTTGTCAAGTTAAAAATTCAGTGTAAGGAATTCAATGTGTAAAAAAATGCTGTTTAAAATTCTGTGTTAAAAAAATTCAGTGTTTAAAATTCAGTGTAGAACAAAAAAGTCAGATTCCAACGAGGCTGTTTTTCTTCCATAGTTGCTGACATCCATGCAAGCCCATAGAAATGCATCTTCGCCCCTAACTCCACAGGAAAGCCCATTCCCAGATGTGAGGAAAACATGATCTGTAAAATACACAAGTACATCCCGCTGCAGCCTTCCACATCAAGGGCAGCCATATTGGAAATGCTGACCGCTCTTGCCTATACTGTAGGCGCTGGCGAGAGAAATGGCAAAAAAAATGTGTTATGTCACATGGTATGTCTGTCACGTGGTATGTCCTTTTTATTTTTAAATCTTTATTAAATCTTATTTTCAGATGTTAAAATAACATTAGTAACAAACAGTCTAAAATAAACAACAATAAGGAATTATTATGAAGCTGTATTTATCTATCCTCAAACCCTATCACAAACAAATGTCATAAAACGTAAATTAAATTGGTAGTACCAATTGCAATCGATTAAAAAACTGTGCTCCAAAGACCTTAAATATCCAATTTTTGCAAAACCAAAAGGGATTAATTTAAAACTTTAAATGTAACTTCAACCTGGAAAGACTCAAACAGAGAAAGAAGGTTTTAGAAAGTTTATTTGAAAAGAAATAATCTTCGGCGCCACGTGCTTCCCCATAGACATAATAAGAGTAGATTGGCTGTCGCGGCGCAGGAATCACGGCCGCCATATTGGGGCGGTCGACCTGCTACTCAAACCTGCTGATTCAAGCTGAAAACACTAATGATGCCTCAGCACTGTGCCGCGTATTTTTGTTTAAATTGACTTACTATTGACGTCAGGGGTCGAGGGATAACTTCTCACAATTAAGATGAAAACATATCTTTACATATATCTTTATATATATCTTTTTATATGTCTATGTGCTTCCCTCCCCTGTTACGTCAGCATTTCCAATATGGCCGTCCTTGATGTGGGCGGGGCTTGATGTCAAGCCTTCCCGCCTTCCCGCAGGCTGCAGCGGGATGCTACTCAAAATACAAGTAGGAAAGAATAAAATGTCAATCAATCAAAAAATATAAAATCTGCAAAAAAAAAAAAAAAAAAAAAAAAAAAAAAAAAAAAAAAAAAACGACAGAAATTTTTGAAAAAAAAAAAAAGTCAGGAAACAGTAAGGTTATGGACAAATCTTTTTGATTAAGAAGTTTTTCAAAGNAAGTAGGAAAGAATAAAATGTCAATCAATCAAAAAAAATAAAATCTGCAAAAAAAAAAAAAAAAAAAAAAATAGAAGATAAAAAAAAAAAACGACAGAAATTTTTGAAAAAAAAAAAAAGTCAGGAAACAGTAAGGTTATGGACAAATCTTTTTGATTAAGAAGTTTTTCAAAGTTACATTTCTGGATTGCATTTTTTTTATTTCAATTTCCAATATATCCCTTTGCTTACAAAAAGAAATGGAACAAGAGTTACCCCATACAGGCTGAGCATTTCTGCATATTAAGATTCACATTTAATGCAAAAATCTCAACCACAACCCAACAGTTTCTGTGACTGACTTGCGGTGGGGTCATCATCTAACAATATCAATAACAGGGACCATTCACAGGACATGATCAATTATTTGTAATCATATCAGTGCATCATTCCCCTCACCATGTTGAGATAAGATTACTTCCCATCTGGGTTTTTTGGACATGGATGCATGCTCGCGGGGCTGATCTAACTCAATTTTGTTTATAATGTCTTTAGCCTGTCTAAGAATAGATGCAATATGTATAAATTTGTCTTCTTGGCTCCGTAACGACTGACAGCCGAGCACAGATGTGGAGCTTTTCCAGAGCATCATAGTAAGAGAAGATGGACCACTTTGGTGCATAAAAAAATATGTTTTGATAGTGATTTATGAGCTGTATGCTAACATGAAATGCCAAATTAGATATAAAAACAATAGATTATTCTCAGTTTGTTAAGTTTATTGAAGACATAGTGATATTAGAGGTAACAAAGATGCAATTCTTTGAAAAGGATGAATAACACAAGTACAGTAAGTCATGAGATGAAGTGTCGTCTCTCCTCATCCAACTGATTCATATTTCATGTGATCCTCTAGCGCGCGGTGTAGATGTCTGTTTGTTCTGCTCAGAGCGTTACAAAAGAGACACTTTGTTCTTCGCACATCCTGTTTGTTTTGTGGTATACATTAAATGGAGACCAAGACATCATGTGCTGAGAGGGTGAAAAGTAGTGTTTACGTTTAAAATATGTAACATGTACAGCAGCTCATCAGCTGTCTGGTTGTTCTTTGACACTCAGTGGGTGGAGGGAACAGGCTTTGCCCCCCCCAGGTAAAAAAACAGATTTGGACAATGAATGAAGTGTAGATGTAGGCTGCTTAGTGGAACAGTATCTCATCTGAAGGCACTTTACAGTTCACCAGATCATCCAGTCAAATTGATTTAAAGTTTTCTATCTGAGGAAAACCAGTTGATTGCATCGACTCATTGACTCGAATGCCATCCCTCTCACTAAGCATGCTTGTAGCGACAGTGGAGAGGAAAAACTCCCTTTTAACAGGAAGAAACCTCCAACAGAACCAGGCTCAGTGTGAGCGGCCATCTGCCGAGGCAGAAGCAGAGATAAAAAAACGTAAAAAGGAAGCCCAGTCCAGGAAACACACAGCCAGGTAGACGAGCTCTGAGCCAGCTCCGATGTTA